TGCTAAGGTAGGCTATCAACGCCCTACCTTACTTCACTGCACCTAGTAGCTGGAAAGTGTTTGATGCTTCAGGTCCAAGACGGGGACGAGATGATGTTTCTCAACGGCACCCGTGTGTGGAACACCAGGCAGACCAGCTGCGCCCCTCCTTGTTCCAGGTCCCTGCAATGGGCGACACTACTCAAGCCCCAGAGACTGAAAAACAGTGGATGGAAGTCGATGTTCTCTTGATACCTAAGTATATGTTAGTACCATGGTTCCAGACCGGCACCAGACAGGATCCAGAGCTACGGCAGGCAAGAACAACGCTGGAGGCAGGCACCCTGGACAACTGGACAAAGCATTGTGCCACATCAATCTCGCAAGCCTCTTCGTATCTGTGGGGGAGGTCCGGCCCAACCAACCACATGCGCAGGGCCGCCCACTTTTCTGTGCTCGCTGACAGTGGTGCCGGGTTCTTTCCACTTTCCTCCACCATACCCACATATACCCACTACTAGCCCCATCAGAAGCCAGGACACGGCCAACATCAACCCGGAAGGTAACAAGATCGATTAGCGAAGGAAGGCACATCCAACCTCAGCCAGCCCCTTACATCCACCCAGCCGAGCATCCTCCCCAACTGCTGCCCATGTGTCCAGGTTTCCAGGGTGGTATCTGCACACGCCGATCAAACACCACCAAAGAGACAGCATGTTCATCAGATCCATCTCGATTCATCCAGGCTCGTCCATCATCGATAGGCCATGGGGGGCCAGCCTCCATTTGATTAAGCCAGACATTTTAGTTGCCATCAAGCTAAGCTCGCCTGCCAGACCCCATGGGCCAAGCTCTCTCTTAGCAAAGGGGCAACAACCCCAAAGCTATACAGCATCTACCTACTACTGTCCCTAACAAAAAGGGTATCTGACATATCACCGTGGGTGTGGGCATTGATATCCCAGCTCAATCGGCCACTTCAACAAATAGGGTTCCTGCGTTTCATTCACTCCATGTCGTCGATGCGCCTGCTAGGATATGATCGTTCTACCCACCAATCTATCCACCCCAGTCTGACACCCTGGTTGCCCTGGCACTGCTGTACTACTACATACGCAATCGGTGCGTGGCTGCGTTTATCACTGCAGTGGGCCATGCACGCAGCTCATTAAGACCTGCCGCAGCCGTAGCACGTGCATTACACTACCTACACTGGGCTACCACCACTCGGCTCTGCCAACCACCCCTCCGCCACCCTGTTTACTTACAGGAAAGCATATTTGCTTTTTCTACATTTCTTTCCCTTCTCTCTTAGTCTCCCTTCCGCGACTCCGCCTTCTTGCCTGTTTGGCACGAGCTCAACTCGCTTCCAGACCTTTTCAGACAGTCCATTGGAATCTGGCCAATATCGGTCCACAAGCGGCAACACCACCTATCTGATGGAACAAACCTCGACCCCGAGCAGCGATAACCAAAGCAAGCTCCATTCTAGGACACGTCTCAGTCTCTCCAACTGGCGCCTATAGTTCTGGATATGCTATGCCGGGTTCACTGCTCATCACCATTAGTTTGGAGAACCCTCGCGCGTTATCGTCGAGTTTTGGAGGAACCATTGATAGCAGGACCAGGACACATTTCCTGTTATCGAGACGAACGCGACCATACTGAACAGATTTTAAATGCATCTGAAGCGACTGGGCTCAGGGGGCGCTGCCCGGACTCCAAGCTAAATCAATACCTATGTGTAACCTGCCTCAATAAAGGGCTAGCTCCAAAAGGGTACTCCCATACAAGTGTCTGGGGATAGCTAGCTGATGCAAGTCTAAGACCCTCTCTCTAATGGTGGCCAAGGCCCGTACTATAGTCAACATCTTCGAATGAAAAGTCGAGCAATCCCTAACTATACTACTGCTCTTGAAACAGGAGGCTGTGGAAGGGGTGAGTTTCAATCGTATATACACCACTGCTACGCTGTGAAAAACCACTTACACGCAACTTAATGGCTTAGCGCAGATGCACCGGTTGCATTCAAAGCACGACTATGAGAGGAGGTCCTCCAATCCTCACCCTATTTCATGCACAGACACGAGCCTTTCATGGGTGCTGTTCATAAAAACCATCTCACCAGAACAAAGCCGCTCAGATCATTAACAAGATACAAATGATCTATGAGTCGCCATGATTTTTTAGGAAGGGTTTTTTTTCTGATTTAAAAAACTCAGCCCCCTGTTGGCCCGTTCCTCTCATTATGAAAAGGGGCGCTCGAAGTAGAAATATCCGGTGACGCGGGGGTATAACCTCAAAAGATTTTCTCTTGCAGGCAATGTGAGCGATCTCTCAACCGAAAATGATAAATCAACACATTCACATGCATCTCATCTCCTCACCCAGTACATATGGTGCCTGCCAGCTCGCGCTGAGAGCACAGCTGCATGGGAACAAATGCGGATGAACGTACATAAGGCTAAGCGGCCGCCCGCATAACAGCCCGATGACACAGAAAAGCAGACATTGCTACATCACGCCCAGAAGATGCCTACGGCAGAACAAGTGGAAATTGCCAACAGGACCTGTACGCTGGGTGGTGCAAGACAAGCCGTACTAACCCAAGCTCAGACGGACCCAAATTCACCCAGATGGACCCAAAACAGCGGCACGGGGAGACATGCTATCTGGACGGCCCGCTGCACCATCGTGGTGGCCAGGTCTGGTGGGCCAGCTCGCTGTGTGGCGGCCAATAGATGACTCTGGCAGCGCTCTTGTAACTGGTGTGGGCAGTGGTTTAGATTGGGCCAAGCTACCAAGCTAGTAAAAGTGCACCAGCGACAGCATCCAGTCATCATTTGCGGAGCCGTGGACAGTCTGATCATGAGTATCACGGCCGGCAATGGCAACAATGATCCCGCGAGTCTTGCACACAAACGTTCACCAGACCAGCTGAGAAACAGGATCCAGCAGTGTATCTATGTGAACCAAATCGACCCCATGACGTACAGATGCCTCACTAACATATGCATGGAAACGAAAACAGCAGCGTGCTGCCATATAGCGTCTTGTCTTCTCTTCTCTTTGCTTTTTCTTCTACTAATTCTTTGCATCTCTTTCCTTGCCTTGCCATGCCCTGGGTAGTAGGCAATACGTTTCTCTTCATTCGTCGATGCTCTCCTCCACCACTTCTCTCTCAACCTGGAAATGGAAACGGCTGCCTCCAACAAGCCACACTGCTATGCTACTTTGGCACAGGCTAGGATGATGGCGGGGCAGAGAAGCTCATCCATCATATATCAGATGCGCCATAAAGCAATGTTTTCTCATTGGGATATTAGTTCAACAGTCCAGTCTTGCGAGAAATGAGGGGAATACCCAATGAAAAAATCGCGATAATAGCGGATGTAGTCATTCCGAGTTGTATCAAGTAGTGGTCGCACAGGTTAGTAGTTGTCCAAAACGCCCTAGACCCCAGGAAACGCAAGAAAGAAAAGATCCTCTAACCCACCCGCCTGGCCTTGGTGGCTTAGGGGGAGATCATTTCCATAACAAGCACAGGCTCTCAGAGCAGTTGACGAGTCGGAAGATTTTATCCAGTGCTGTTCGCACACATGATGATGCGAGCCATGGTCACTCGCAACCATGCATACCTGAAAATAGTCCCTTGCTTTGTTAGTGCATATCCACGCACACATACACGCATAGACGTACCCAGCGCTCGACTGTGTCCATGCTGCGCCGTGGGTGCCTCGTGGAGGTGATCTGTTGAGAAGGTACAGAAACAACTCATAATTGGGCAATCATCAGATCATGCCCTTACCCGACAGTCAGGGCCATCCTCCAATCTCCTCTTCCCCCTTGAACCGTCGTATCAAACCTGCGGTTTCCCGACATCCGCTCATTTCGTCCTTTCTTTTTCCCTCTATTCAAATTTTGAATTTTTCGAATTTTTCTCCTCGTGGTGTTGTCCCCCTCTTATCCCGAACCCCCCCCCCTACCTCTCCTCCTCACCCCTACACTCAAGCTGAAGAAGATCTCTTCCAATCAGCTTCACTAATTGGCACAAGGGATGAGATGTCTGGCTGTCTCACCCTCACTCGTACTTTCCACCACTCAGAGCCCTACCCTTCTAGCTCACTCCGCGCGCCGTTAAGCCATGCCAGCCACGCTTGGAGGAAAAAGAAAACAAAAGCGTGCAACAGGACGAGAGCGGACGCCCCTAGAGGATGCGGCTAGCCTTCCGGCTAGCTGCTGACACCCTGCTCGCGTATCTGGCCAATTTTCTTTTGCAAGGATGCGTTTCGATACCCAAACCTCGAATGACGCCAGCACCCAGGGCCCGGATCGCGATGGAACCAGCCTACGGCAAGCAGCAGAACCAGCAAGCGATGGCTTCCCTCCCCACCGGCACCCAAGGAAAAAGAAAAGAAAACACGCCCAACCCCACTTTGCAGCTCACGGACTGGATGCAATCTTTAGGCACACCCGAGGGCAACTCCAAAAAGTACGAGTGCAGCCTACCTACTACCTATCTAAGAGCAACATGGGCCTTGGTGGGCAGGCGAGACAGCCAAGTCAGTAAGATAGTTGATGTCTTGTCTTGCCGCCCCGTCTCGAACTCTAGGCCCATCCGGGTACCTGCTCGAGGATTATCACCTCTTCTGTCTTGCAGCACGCTCAGCCATTCGCCACTCAATTCTGGATCACGGGCTAGAGGAAGCCCCTCGCCCAGTTCATAATGCAAGTCACAGGGTCCAATTTCAACAGAGAAACGCCTCAAACAATACTGACACGGGCGGCAAGCCAATACACATGTCGCTTATTTTATTTTATTGAACCCATCTAAACCTCGGCGTGGCCGGGTGCCAGAGCATCAAAAAGAAAACAATGTGGAGAGATGGGCGTGATACGAACAGACATTGGATTTTAGCTCTAGTTGTCTCGCTCCTGAATTCTCCCTGTCCTATTAGATTCCCTGAAGGGGAGAAAAAAGAAAAGAGAGGTATCAAAAGCTGAGCCTATGCCTCCTCACCTTAACTCGGAGCATCCGTCGTTGGCACGTTGCCTGTCTCTTCACCAATGGTCAATCCTTTGCGAATAGCAAGGACACTGTCCACGATGACGGCGTCAATTCCCTCGGTGACTTGGCGCTGTTTTTCACATAGTTAGTATGATGATAGCACAAGTAGACTTGAAGCACCGGGAAACCAACCTGAACCATCAAGGGATCATTATTCAAAGTTCCATAGCTTACACATACAAGCCCATTCTCCTTCACAACTCGCACCAGGCGAGGGCTGTTGATAAGGGGCTCCGCAGCTGAGACGATACCCAGCAGATTCCATCGAGTTGCAAATCTGATTGCTTCTTGAAGTGAGGATGCTCTGACATCACTGACGGAGCAGCACCCAGCGTCTGTGAGGAAGAGGATCGGGATAGAAGGTTGCTTGTAGCTCAGGCAGAGACAGATATCAGGGTTGAAAGAACTGAAGATGATGTGACGTTCACCCGCCAGATCATAGACTTTCGACAAAACTGTGTCGCAGAAGGAATTGAGCTCGACGGCATAGGTGTCCATCTCGTGCTCCTCACTCTCGTGCAGCATGGGGTATTTCATCTCGATGTTGAAGCCAATGTTCTCTGGAAGCCTGCGGAACAGATCCTCCAGGGTTGCAAAAGGCGCTTGGATAAAGTTACCCCGCGAGTTAGCTTTGAAGCCCTTCTCCTTGAAATCTCTGGTGTGTTTCATGCGCTCGTCCATTTCCTTGGATGAGCCCGAGCCGGCAAACCCCATCGATTGAGAGCGCATGGGAGTGAAACTGTTACTACGGTTTCTTCCCGTGGGTTCTCTCAGAGAGGTGGTGTCCTTCTTTGCTTGTCCTTCAGGTCCTTTGCGCGCACTATCTGGGTTGATATGCAAGAATTGCTCCAGTGTCAGAGTATGGACAGGGGCATCTATGCCGGTCTCGCTAACGAGAAAGTCGTGATAGATGACAGGGACGTGATCTTTGGTCAACTGAACGTCGAATTCAACGTACTGGGCACCAAGGTTGGCGGCTGCAATGAAGGAAGGCAGCGTATTCTCGCCAAGTTGCAAGGATCGATTCGACGCCATGTTCTTTCCAAGGCCTCTATGGCCAATGACCATCGTCGAATCTAGCTTTTTCCAATATGTCTGCCGCGATGTAATCTCCATGTTGGGATGGTGGAATGGCGTGATGACGAGAAAGTTGAAATTTACCGTACCAATGACATCTAGCGTACTTGAAATGATGGGGACGCATACGTCGCCTTGCAAGTTCATCCTACTAGAGCCAAGGTTGGGCTTGACGGACGACAAAAGAGCAACAGCGCGACCAATCTTGTTCTTCTCATTGCCCGAGTATGTCGGTACAATGTCGAAAAACAATTTGACAGCTGAAGCATTAGTGGTTGTGAAAATGATTGGCTCTGTTGCAATGTTCTCCTGGACGGGGAGATCAAGAATTGTAGGCTCTCCTTGAGCTCCGCTGGCTGATACAACGACAGACAAAGCTGTATCCAGCTGGGTGTTGTGTGCTTCTGTCAAAGGGACTCGGTCCAGGTGCACCGCTTCGGTCGGCTTGCGGACGTCCAGACTACCGAGTGCCACATGAACAAGGCATTCGTTGGTGAGGTAACGGTGGCCAAAAGTCTTGACAGGCTCAGCTCGTCTGGCTGGAGAAGTGGCTCTGCCGTTACCATTTGATTTCCGGCCATCAACCGAGGAACTTTCTCCAGGCGTCAGGTATGGTCCGTTTCCAGGTCTTGTGGCAAGATCGATCTCGGTGGTATGTTCCGCTAACAGTTTCGCAATCTCGAGATGTCCGCGTAGAGCTGCATGCTCTTTAGCAGTCCATCCTGAGGAATCGGGGCGAGACACATTGGCTCCGGACTCGACGAGCAGCTTCACAATTGGGAGGTGGCCGTCCACCGCCGCAACGTGCAAAGGAGTCCAGGCGTAAGTATTCTCAGTAGCTTCCAGGTCGGCTTTCTGAGAGTCGCTACCCTTGACGAGCACATCTGCGCTCTCGAGGTGGCCGAATCTAGCGGCCAAGTGCAGCGCAGTCTCTCCGTCCTTGTCTTTCCAGTTGACATCAACACCAGCCTTGATAAGCATCTCGACGATGACCTTATAATTGGCCTTGCTCGCTATGGCCAAAACGGCGCCAGACTTGGAGACCGTCTTTCGGATCTCAGCTTTAGATTCACCAATTCCATCCCAGTCTTCTCCTTGAAGGAGAGCCTTCGTCGTAAGAGGGTGACCGCCAATAACAGCAAGATGAAGAGGGGCGAAGCCGTCCAGGTCCTGCCACTCAGGTGCATCGATCCCGTTTTTGGCGTCGAATTGGTTCCATTGTTGCATCTTGGCCATAATGGTCTGTGACACAACTAACAATCCGTATTGGGCCGCGTAATGGAGGGGGAGTCGGCCAAACGAATCACGGGCCGCAAGGCCATCCTTCTGGCTATCTTTCAAGTTATCGAGCAAGAATATCAAAAGTTTCACAGCTTCGTCGTCCTTTTGCCCAACGACAGCCTCTGTGTCATTGAGCGCTCTTACGGCCACTGAAGAAGAGACCGGGGGTTGAATGTGCCTATTACTGAACTGTGCACCAACTGGAATCTGGCCAGTGCTCGAGTCCTTGGCTGAGGACGTCGCCTTTGTGCGACCAATGTGAATTACAAGTCGGTGGATACAGTTGCGGTTATTGATGTCTTCAGGCTCATCAAGTGTTGTGATGCGACCCAGAAGATGAAGAATGCAAGCTTCAGAGCGTGCAGATATAGATCGTTGGAGGAGATTCAAGAAAATCGTGTGAAAAGAATCATCTTGTCCCAGCTTCGCCTCTTCGAGACTCTTCTTAAGCGCTTCGACGTCGTCCTTCCGGACGGCTTGATCCAAAATATCGAGCTGGGACTGGGGCAAAATGACCATGGCTCTGGATGAGGCTCGGCCCAAGGAACGGCTTGACCGATCTGATCTCGCATCGTCCACATTCTGGGCATCTGCGAGAACTGATAGCCAGCGATTAATGTCAGCCAAGAGCCTGCTGATATTCCCATCTTTGGCAAAAGGCTTGGGGTCCACCTTGGTGGATATATATCTGTGCTGGGTCGTGATGGACGGCACCTTCTTGTCAAGCTTCTTGGTGATCTTCACAAACCCGCGCCTGTTGATCTCGCCAAACCACTGGAGATTCCTCAGCTGGTTGCGCAAGTCCAACAGGGCGCCCATTACCTCCTCCACCTCATCTTGGTCCATGCTGTCGACCACATCCGGGACCCGCCCATATCGGTTGTTGAGTAGATTCAACCGTCGGCAAGCATCAGCAAACTTCCTGTTGTAGAAGCTGTCTACATCCTCGAGATTTCGGTCCAGGGCGAAAAAGAACTCTACGGGAAAGTTAGGGGATGGGGTCAGCCCCGACAAAAGCCAAGACAAGGCCTCCCACCTGCTGGATCCACCTGCTCTCCATTCTTCACCTTCTCCGATGCGCCTTTGATGATCTTCTTCAGGCCCTTATAGTTGATATAAGAGGCGGCCCACTCGGGCACCTGATTCCGAGGAAGGCTGTAGGTGAAAGTGTCAGTTTTTGAAGCACAGAAAACCTCTTTGGGTGGGGGGGGCTGGCGGAGCTTCACACACCTACGACCAAACTTCATGATAAGTTCGGTATCCAAGCAGGGTATCGACGTGTGAAAATGAGCGGATGGCAGCAGTCAGCCAATTCGAAGATGAAAGAGAAGAAAAAAGAACTCAGCAATGGTTCCTGGCACTCGGCATTACTCAGAAGCACTAACCCCCACAGTGACAAAGAGCATGTAGGGGTCCAAGTGCAGGGCGGTGCGTTGTGCAGGTCGCGAGGTCAGTCACAGGGGGGTCACCTGATACCAAGAAGCCCAAAACTACGCTTTGTCGGCGCCTGCGAAGTCGGTGAGCCGCAAAAACTGCATCTCATCTGACTTTTTTGTAATTGTTTGGCACGGTCTCCGGTCGCGGTCGCAGTGGAACGAGCCCTGGAATTGATTTTTATTCCCTTACTCAAGAGAAGGAGCTGATGGAGCATGCGAATGGAGCCCCCTCCCCAAAACCGCCATCGTGCGGACCCCATAGCACCTGCCTTGGGATAGGTTTTGGACGATATGTAGCCACCTCAGTCACTAGCTAACCACCCGGGCATGCTAACCACCGAGCGAGAACCGCCGCCAGCTGTCAATGGAACCGCCTGGATGGAGGGACGGTGGGGAACTCTAGGTGATATGTACAGCGACCTGGGCCCCTACCTAGTTAGTAAGGTAGGTACCGGGCAACCCTACCTGCAGAGTGCCCCAAATGCCAGGCTGGTCGAAGCAACACAACGGCCAGTGAAACCTGGCTGGAATGGAGGGGGAAAGGTAAATTATCTTAATCCAAGATCAATCGGGGCCAAGGCCGTGAATTGAGCCATCTGATTGGGTGCCCAGACAGGAGCCCCTGCAACAGATTGATCAAGACATCCAAGGTAGCTTAAGTAGGAGGTATGCTTTGGATTTTTGAGACCAACCGCGCTTCACGAAACGGCCAATCACGTTTCGTTCTCGATTCACATGTCACTGGCCACCATTCACGTCTCTCCTACGACCTCACCCTCAGCACGGCAAGTACCCATTACCACCGTAGTACCTGTTGATAACGAGGGAGAAGGCGGAAGCGACGGGAGGAATGGATGGGTCTTATCAGCCAGTTCGCCGTAAAGCCCCGTCGAGCTGAGCAGCACCACAGTTGATCCAGTGGAACCTACCATTGTGTCGTCGCTACGTCATGTCAAGAGAGGGTGTGAGGGGGGGAATAAGCGACAGTAAAGAGTCGGCGCAAGAATTATATCATTTTTATGCGCATGGCGACAAAGGAAACTGGAATGCCTTGTATTGGTGACACTCTATGATATGTACTGGATACGAATCGGTGTGATCCATGCCCTGTGCTCTATGCACAGGTCTACTCTCTTCCCATCTTGATCATGTCCCGGCGCCTTAAAAAATACAGATAAAATGACACGCGCCTTGTCTTATATACAATTGCGCTTTGGAAAGACTGGGTGTACTCGTACATGTTGCCTGAGAGGGCAGAAGGAGCCGCCTCCCCCCTCATCATTATCTCATCTCCGGTAAACCTCATTCATGACTCGTCTCGACTTTGACATTCATGACCACATTTTGGGTGCTCCAACCTGTAGACCTGCCTACCAAATCGGAGAGAAGAGGCGTGTGAGCTTGAGTTTCGTCTTCAAGTCTGGTAGCTTCGCCGGTGAGCCTTTCCGAGATTGGTGTCCGCCGTCGCTGTAGATTCGACTTTTGCTCTATCAGGTCCCATTGCTGAAGACTTTCCTGTATCTCAGTGAAGAGCAAATCGGATCGCTCAAGGGCATCGTGACCGATCCGATCTGCCATCCAGGCCCGAACTTCGAGAGTAAAGGGATATTTCAAAAACTTGCTCTCGATAGACGCAAAAGTCTTCCTCGCGCGGGTAATTTCCTTCCAGAGACTTTCTATTTGCAGCGCCCTGCTGTAGAATTGCCTCAAGTCTTCGTCAAGCCCAAGGCTGCCCCGTTCTCGAGTGGGCTGTAAATGTTCGGGCAAAACAGAAGCACCTCTCATAACCTTTGCTTTGAGTTTTAGAAGCTTGTTGGATGAGAGTTCGAGCCCAGCCAGTCGCTCAGGCGATATTTGTCGGCTCGCTCCTCCCATGCCGACCATGTCGAAGATAGAATACGTCCTATCAATCAAGTGGGCTCTGGTTTTGTAATCACAGAGTTTCATCAGAACCTTCCATAAATGAATGTGCTTGGAGATCTCTTGAAGGAGCCTCACACCCGCAGACCAGTCCAAGGTCCATACACACGCATCGAAAACTTGCCTAATCGTCGTTGTTGTAATAGCCACGTTCCTGCGGACGCAGGTCGTGAACAAGGTGATCGCCTCCGGTATCATATGAAAATGAATCAGACCCCTCAAGATCTCCTCTACAACAAGACGGTTCAGCGGCAAGTGCTCGTAGACGTAGTCACCAAGCAAGGTCCTGTCACGGGTGTTCATAGCCCAGCGACGATAAATGGGATCATCTAGTGCAGCATCTATGTGGAATCGTCGTACTTTTGCACCACTTTTGGGGTCAAGGCCAACTATACTCGCGATGGTCCGCATGAACTTTCCGTGGTTCTTTGTCAAGCTGTAGTGGGAAAGAATCACAGCAAAAGTTGTCGGCGTAGGCTTTAGATATGTTTCGAAGAAAAAACTGTGGATGATTTGCTCCGAGAAGGCAGTAAGGTGCACGCCATCAAGCTCGATCATCAGGGAGTTGAACGTATGCATATCCGGCGGATACGCCGAGATCAGAAGGTTATAACAAACCCTTCCTATCTTTTCCTTGATCCCAATTCCGCGATGGTTTATAGCGACCCTGGTGGCTTGATTAAGCCTAACAGTATTCAGTTTAGCCGCCTCCATGTCAATGCTTCGAAGTTGATAAAACGGGTATCCAGAGTCGAGTAAGCGCATAGCTTCATCGTACGATGGTGATGGGGCAGAGTCCGAGGATCGAGCATTGGCACGCAATAGTAGCTTCTCAACCATGTTCCTGATACTTTTACCAAAATTCTCCAGGTGGACCTTGGAAAGGGGATCTCGGCGTGTTATTTGATCGCTCACTTCTTCATAGGCGGCAGCAAGTCTCAGGCCACCAGTAGCCCGGTTCCGTAACGAGAGGCCCAAGGTCGTCTCGGTGCAGTTATAGAAGTCCCGTTGCAATCCTGCCCGCAGAGCCGACCTGCGCAGCCGGGCTGGCTTGTGCATCTCCTTGAAGTAAGGTCGATTGGAATATATGTCCCTCAAGCAATTCCAAGCATGATCCATTTGGTCATCAGTCAGACGCTCGATGCTCGATTCAACCCAATGGGCCATATCTTGTTTCCTCAGGTTGCCCAGCTCGCGCTGAATATCCTCCACCTGCCGGTCGAGCTCCCGCCTCCGTTCACACTTGGAAACGGCATCAATTAAGGCCGCCGAGGCAAAAAGAGAACTGTAACATGCCGTAAAGACGTCGGGAAATGTCGGTTTTCGGTGCGGCGTATTCGTCACTCGGCGACCAAGGCCAGCCACAGTTGTGCTATATGCCCTGCGGCCGCAACCATGGGCCCGCCTCGCTGTCGCCCATAGTGACTGCATCGCTCAAGGACAGGGCGGTCGTTCGCCCATAGTCTCTGCGGCGCCGCAAATGTACGTTGGGCAATCAATTGGCGCAATGTCGTTCGAAACCACTCGGTAGTCGCTCCGTCCGTCGAGAGCACGAGCAGAAAGTGGAATGATCTCGGTGGGCAAGTGGGCCGTATCCAGCCGTGCAAGTCACGTGCTGCCATTGGTCCACCATCGCCTCCAGGATGGTGCTCCTACACCACTTACACACAGGTCGGAAACCAGCTGCGAGGAAGCCGAGTTTCGGTATCCAAGATACAGAATATCTCTAGACAACCGCCGAGGTCTTCTAGTTTTTTAATTCTGCCGAAATGTTTACACTTGTTCTTACCGCTGAGCTCAATGGGTATGCAAGCTTACCATTATTTAAAGACACCAGCCCAACAAGATGCTAATTGTGGCAGAGTGACAAACCTACGGCCCCAGGATACTGAGGAAAACCCGTTCTGGTTCATGTTCAAGGTCCAATGCACCTCCTGTCGCGAGACTCATGCCAACACGGTTGGCGTTAACCGCTTTGTATGAACCAGATGCTCCCCCGCTTACCCGGGCAGCTACTTACGTGATGATCCAGGAGGCAAACGAAGTGAGCGGGAGCAGGGGCGAGGCTAACTTCGTTTGGAAGTGCAAGAACTGCAAGGTTCGGAATCATGAGTGTTGCGATATTGGCCCTGGATTGTGTGAGGCTAATATCATCATCACTAGCGAGAGTCGTCTGCCTCCATTAAAGCTGCAGCCACACCATATGAGCAGGCAGAGCCAGCTAAGAAGCAAAAAATCATCGAGTTCGACTGCCGTGGCCTTGAGTTCACAGAATTTCAACCCGAGGTATGGTCATCATGGTACATTGGTCGTTTCTCCGCAGTGTGAGGCTAACATTGTAATTCCTAAAGGGGGAGTGGCTCGCGGAAGGCATTGACTCCAATACAAAATTCACAGCTATCGAACTGGTAGATGGCGAGTGGTATGACTATGATGAGAAAGCGGGGGACGAAGTGAGCATCAAGGACCTCACTTGGGAGATTCGTCGCGCCTAGCCAGAAAGTAGATGCTCAAACCCGAAAAAAAAAATAAACAAACCGATTATTCTGATAATCTGATTGGTCTACTGCTAAAAGAAAGAATCCAAGAAAGATCAAGCCTCTCTGGGGGAGATGCATCTTGTTATAGTCCTTGGCTGGTCCAGGGTAAGATTAAGGTTGGCCATCAAGGTGAGCCCCACGCTCTGTCAAACAGGGGATTTGGCTCTGCACCAGCAACCTTTTCACGGTCTCACATCGCTCCCCGAGTCTACATCCCAGATACCGACGCGTTCTCGTCAACCATGGAAACCCCACAGCTATCCAAGACGATAGAGTATCTCACAGATGCGGCTCATTTCCTACACGAGACCGCTCCAGAGACCGCTGCACACTTGATGGCCCAGCGCCGTG